AGGTGTGTTGGAATTTCTGCCTTTGTTCCCTTTGTTGTTTTCCTCAGGGCAGGAAAATCTAGTAAAACTATCTTGTTTAAAATCGGGGAGTTCAAAGACAAATTGTCAATTGTAACTTAACATAGTTCCTTTTGAGACATTTTATGGTCTGCAGATAAAGTAGGCATCTGGTGTACAGCCAACTGGAAGATTCGGTGTTTAGAAGACCTCAGAAATTAAAATTTCAAATTAAATTCTAGTTAGAAGTGTTACTGCATGCGTATAGTACTTTTTGTGCTAGTTTATACCAGGAGGTATGTGGTGCAGTTATTGTGTAAATCTCCAGATTAAGACTGAAACTTCACCAGCTCTAGGAAAATGTCCTGAGTATGATAGAAATGATGTGTCTATTTGGTTGCCTTCAATGCTGGATACAACTGGCATCAGCATTCTTTAAGGTGTGAGACCTGAATGAGAGGAATAGGGAGCTCTCATCTAACTCTGCCAACCTCTGGGTGTGGTTTGGTGTGGGTGCTGTGTAGGCAAAACTGGTCCAATTTCTTTCCCAGTGCCACAATGGGCTCTGGCTTCATTAAGTGGGGTTTGTTTGCCTTGACTAGCTGCAAGGCAGCTGCACAGCTGAAGAAATGGTGTGTCCTGTAGGATGGAAGAAGGCTTGGGTGGGGAGAAGGGTATGCAGAAACTCCTTTGTGCAAAAATCATCCAATATAATGGAAAAGCCCCCAAATTAAGTGTTTAGGCTTAAGACTGTTTTTTACATTCTTTCCTTCTGCTGCTATGGATATCTCCTAAAGGACACAAGTATGGCTACTCTTACCTGGTTGTATTCACACAGTTGAGAGGAGGAAGTTGTGGTAGATGGGCAGCAGGGATAACAGTGGAAGTAACTTCTAAAACTTGCTTCACTAGTATTGCTGTTGTGGAAGTAAGGCCTAAATCAGATGCCTAAAGTTAGGACTATGGAGATTTTGTCTTTGTTCTCAAATGATCATCACTTCAGTGAGAGAGGACTAATTAATAGCTGCTTAGATCCTTTTAAAGGCAGAGTTTTGATGCAGACCAGCCACCGATTGTTACTAGAGTATTCAAAACTCTAGTTATTTGCTGCTGAGTCAAACGGTGAAGCCCTAAAAGGCCAAGCGTTGAGCCCTGCAGATGTGTGCGTTTGAGGCTTCTAAGTATTACTCAGCTGCAGGTTCTTAAAGGTTTAGGGAGAGTGAGTGCTAATTAAGCTGGTGCTATCTTTAAAGAAATGCTTATCAAACTGGGCCTTTAATGAGGCTGATCTGCTGAGTCAGTTTATAGATGTTGTAAAGAACTGAAAGCCTTAAGAACTAGTGCATGATTTTCATTAGGCATGTGAGATGCTGTAAATGTGAAGTATTCCAGTTTAACGCAGAACTTTTATCACTGTGGTGTTATATTAATGTGATCTCAAAAAAAAAAAAAAAGGCGAGGGTCAAATTCCTCTTCCTGTTTTCCTGTTCCCTCCCTACTCAGGAAGGTAGCTGATTTTTCAGGAGAAACAGAGATAACTGGTATGCTGTCTTTTGGTATCTAACTAGCTTAAATATCTGCTCTTTTCTCAATGTCATCACCAAGGTGACTGAATAAATCTGGATAATTAGTGAATAACTAGGAATGGGATAATGTATTAATATTTTACATAACTGATATCTCAGGTGAATGTTTTGTCGATAAATATTGGCCTCTACTATCCTATCAGCTTGCCTGTGTATTAACTGCCTGTGTCTTGCCACAGAGTTACCTTAGGAATGAGAAAACATAATTTTCTGTAAATTACTGTTTACTTCAGAGCACTAATTTGAAACGTAATTTTGCATACAGGCAATTGAATTTAATTAACAAATGATCGTAATTACAAGTTTAAGGTAAGAGGCTATCATTTTATTGAGAGAACTTTGTGGAAGGTTTTTGTTTGCTCTAAGAACATTTCACTGATATCACAGTAAAAATAGAATATCTTTGCTTGAATATATAAACAAATGTTAACACCAAGAAACCAACTTCAGAATGTTGATAACACAGGAAGATTATTTGTAACTCCTTTAAACCATAGTGCAAAGGAACTGTGCAAGCTAGTGTGGTACAGAAGTGCTATAAATACACTTTTTCCAGTCAGTGACACTTACCAAGGAGTATAGTGCGCAACTAAATCGCTTTTCAGTTCCATGCTCTTGGAATGACAAGCATGTTACATACTGCTCCTCTGGATAAGAGATCATAAGATTGCTTATTGGGAGTGCTGTTGGTATTGAAACTTAGATTTCTAAATCCCCTGGAAATACGGAAAGCTGTGAGAAAGCGAATTTACAAGTATTAATATTGAGATCCTTCTGAAGAGAGACAAGAACCACTTGTCCTTTTTATTCATTCTGCATTACCTATATTTGGTACTACTAATTTTTGTTCTTGAAATAGGTTACATTTAGCAATGTCTTGAAAGTCAAAACAAATTTGGTAAATCACGAGTATTTTATGGTGAATGTGTGATGCTAAAGGCAAAAAAAACTTAGTTTAGTTCAGGACATCTCAAAGCAAGTCACCAAATTGTACAAAGTTTTAGTTCAATGCTCTTCATGTTCATTGTAGTTTCAGCTATTTTGAAGTCTTGTAGGAAGAGCTATACCATTGAAAACTTCTGTTACCAGACATGAAGCTGATTTACCATCAAATATTAATTCTGATACTGTCTGATTTCTATTCTTTTTCATGTATGAGAACAAGCTTAGATTCTGTTGAGGGTGAATGTAAACATATATGCACTATATGGTCTGAAGTATTTTCTATAGTACTTTATTTTTCCCTCTTAAGCTTTACAGTAGTTTTTTTTTTTTTTAACTTATGACTTGCTAGAAAATGTAAACAGATTTAGCATTTAAGAATTTCATATAGTGTCTCTTTGGGACTTGTGCATGGTTGGAAGATATTTCTTCACATGCTTTCTTTCCTAAATATTAGTTACTTCACTTCTGAAAGTGACAACATGATGTTTTTCTTTTCACAGAATCCGAAGAAGAAACTGCTCAAACAGTTGACACAAAGCAGATAGATAGTGAAGCCCCGCATCCTGAGCAGCTAGAAGATAAATTAGCTGAAGAAGCTGAAAAGCAGAAACCAGAAAGTGAAAAGGAGCTTTCGGCTAGTGAAACAGATTCTGCTATTTCTGCTGAACAGAGTGAAGAATCGTTAATGAAAGCAGAATAAAATACTTCAAGTGCCTTCTGTACCTAGATTTTAGCTTTGTTCATGCCTGTTACTATTCAGGTGAGCTTTTTTTAATGGTACGACTTAAGATATTGCTTGAGCTCAAACTGCCTCACTGCCATGGTATGTCAAAGCTATGTGTAAAAATGAGTATTGTAAATTAAGCATGTGTCTTTAAATGAGTTAACACTCAGCAGAATGTATAGTCATTTGAAGTCTAACAGTTGTAGCCAGTGTTCAGTTTTGCATACTTAAATTCCAGCTTTAGTCTGAGTTGAATTAGGAGTGACCTATAATTTGGTATCCCTTTAACTATCAAAGAGCAGTTATTGGCAGCACTTGACCTAGTGAAGTTTGGT